CAACACGAGAAAATATGGTGCAGTTTTCTTTTCTATCTGAAGTGGAAGTGGAACTTTAAACTTACAAATTCTTGGTCCCAGTTATTTTCAGGATGGAATCAACACAAAAATAAACTTCAAAGAAGCTGAACTTGGTATTAATGTATTCTTCCTTAGACCTCTATAAACTTCTAAAGCTGAACAAAATACATTCTAGACTAGAAATGCTTTAATAATCTATATGAAAGAACTAGTCCTAACAAGTTTTTATGTTGTTGCAAAAGAAAAAATTGTCACTCAAACTTCGTTTGGTTTGTAACACCTAAGGCAAAAAGTACACAAAAATTAAATGGGAGACATAACAAGTAAGAGCAATTCAGAGTCAAAGGAAAGGTTTCCAAGCTGGTTTTATTAGATACAAACGGCAAGAGTGTAGCACTGAAATTTTGATAATATTCAAAATCATTATGAAATGAGATTATCAGTTTTCACACCCCTGGAGCTGCATACAACAAACCACCACTCATAATGGATTGAGCAAGATTTATTATCCAACTGAGTAAGAACAGCAGAGGCCAGCTGGCTTGCTCTCAGTACTGGCTTCCCCTTGGGCACCAATCAGGGCTCCCCACTGCAAGATGATGTCCAGAAGCAAAGGGACCAACTTTCACTCTGCTTCCTTCTTAGGCTTGAGAAAATCCTCCCGAGATGTTCCCAGCAGTCCTCACTTCCAGTTCTCTAATCGTCAAACCAGGACCTGCTTCCAGTCCTAAGCTAGCAAGAGGACCAAGATGACCACAGCTGCCTCATGGTCATCATCTAGGGTTGAATGTTGACAGTCTACCACAATGGCCACAATGTAATTTGGAAAATTAATCAATTCCCTTAATACTTACCATGGTTTTAATTCTGTAGTCTCATAAGTTAGGAAAATTTTAAGTTTGCATTTAATAACTCTATAAATGTTCCTCTGCTTTTAATTAAAAATGTAAGAATCTATAAAAACTAAATGAAGTCAGCACTGTAACCATTCATAGTGGTCTTGAACATTTGATACAACCACCCTGGATCCATTATTAGCTTATTTATTCACTGTTGCCCAACTACATATGACCAGAATAAAAATGAACAAATATACTTCTTCCCATAAATGTAATAGTTCTAAACTTACTAAATTGCATGTATTTATGCATTCAATAAACATTTCAGTAGTACCTATTGATGGAAGGCACTGTCCTACAATAAATGAACATACAAGACACCTTTCAAGGAAAGGAAACAAATAGAAACATAAGAAACGGAATGGGGAAGATGTGAGCAGGGAGAGCCAGGCGTTAGGGAAAGGGGAGGGGCTATGCACAATAAATGGGTGAGGAAAAGGCTTACTGATTACAATTCAACAGACTTCTGAGACAAACCAGGGATGGGCCAAGCGTTACACTGGCAATTCTCCAGATAAAGGGAAGAGCAAGCATAGAATTTCTCGGTTGGGAACATGCGTGGCATGAAAAGCAAGCTAGCTGAAACAGGAGAGAAGTGAGCCAGGTGTGAGTACCTTAAACACCTTGGGACAATAAACCTCCCAGCCTGAATGTGAAGGATTCATTTTTCCCAAGGATTACATTTGTCCCTTGGTATATGGGGGACTGGTTCCAGGATGCCCACTGATACCAAAACCCACAGAAACTCAAGTCCTTTCTATAAAATGGTCCTGGATACTCAGTCATCTCTAGGTTACTTGCAATACCTAATACAATGTAAAGCGAGCTAAACAGTTGTCAGACAGACTTAGGAAATAATGACAAAGAAAAAAAAGTCCATCTGTACATGTTCAGCACAAATACAAATCCCTCTTTGTAATACTTTTGGTCCATGGTCATTGAATCTATTGACATAGAACCTGAAGATGCAGAGCTGCAGATGGAGGATTGTCTATATATGCAATCTGCTCCCCCAGTGAAATCTTGGAATTATCAGAATTTCAATTCATAGCATTTTATAATATAGTTCTTAAAAGCTAAGATTTTTTAAAAATTTGGTTAATTAATCTCTAGTTCAGAAGTCAATGGTGAACAGATACATGAAAATTTTTGGTCATACCTGTCTGAGTTACCCCAGCTTCGGTTATTTGTGAAGGCTAAGTACTCAGAACAGCTACTGTTTCACATGCAAGTAGCCTAAGGATATAGATCGCTATATCCCAGGAAGAAGGCTAGGAGGCACATGAAACCCAAAAAACATTCTGGGACATAAACACACCAGAAAGGCACATATGCTTGACCATGCTAATTCTTGCCAATCCTGGCTTGTATAATCAGTGGAAACAGATCTTAATAAGTACACCAACAGTATACTCTTACAGCTAAGCAATCTTCTGAGACTACCAGGTACTAAGAGCTGTCCAAAGATAGAAAATAGGAGGCATGTTACTCAAAACATCTTTTTATGACCCAAGATGGAAATATTTCAGAAAGAGGATACTGCAAATCAGTACGAATTAAATACTGACATAAGGGTCCCTAAGAGCCTGGTTTCAGGACCAAGAAAGGCTCTCCACAAGACTGAAAAGATTGGGCTCACTTTAACATCATACAAAACACAGCTAAGGAACATGGACATGGTCCATGGAGCAGTGTGCACAAGCTTTGGCACCTGAAGGCCACCTCTGAATTCCATCTCAGCAATTTGCCAACACACTTTGGTTTCCACAAATACAGAAGAAGGATAAAGTAGTACCTATTAAAAGAGTTTTAAGAACTGGGATAATTTAAATTCAGTAATATATATTTTTGCACCAATTTATTTTTCTATTTCTTCTAAAGAAATAAATTTACTCCCCTCTCCTCTTGCACGCAGCAACATGAACAGTTACAGACAACTTCCAAGGTAGTTAAAACTGCAATTCCTGAGGCATCTTCTGGGCTTTCCTTTTCTTATAATAGTCTTCAACAGTGTTAACAGACCTAAAATACCTTCAATGATCTGTTTTATATATTCACCATTGAACAAATAAATGCTGGGAACTAAACATTACCAGTTTCTAGTACAGGTGCCAGATAAGTGGTTACAAAGCATAGGGATGAAGCAGGGTGAAAAGCATGCTAACTGGAGCAATGCAGGGTCCATCCAGCGATCTGCTGGGTCCCACACACCTGAGTGCAGGTATTACTGCCGGGCTGGGTCCCACAGGAGAGGCAGAAGTTGCCTGATAGAGAGAGCAGGAACACATTCTAGGCAGAAAGAACAGTACCAGTACTGACAAGAGATCCATTTTCATTTTCTTCCCAGCCCCTGCTTTATTTCAAAGCATTTCAATGCAGACACTGAAGTCCTCTGATCACTTGTATACCAAGTGCTTTATTCAGCCCAAGCACACTGTGGATTCTCAAGAATGTGTTGAATGGGTCAGTAAGTGGGAAATTAGACAGAATGTGGGTGTTTAGAAAATTATCAAACAACACAAAAACTTTAAGTATACTTAAAGTTCCTCTAATCTCTTATAATACAACAGAGGTAATATTTAAGGCAAAGAAGATATAAATGAAAGGCAGATTTCTATGATATACATACACCTTACTTAATTTAGAGTAAAAGTAATACATAAAGTGACAGCAAATGAGACATGAAAAATAACACAGAAATGGCTGACCTTTCGTTCTGTAGGATTTACAAAATTGAAAGTTTTGCAGAAATTGGTTACTATATAAAAATTATAGTGAAACCAGTAACACAAATGTAGATCATATGGTTAAATCCCTGGGCAAATGGAAGAAAAAGGATATTGAGACAGAATATTATTGAGGATTTTTTTCAGATTAACTTGAACAAGATTTTCATAAAATATCACTATTATTCTGCTACATAATACTCTCCCTTAGCTTCCTAAAAATAAAAATTTTCTCTTCAGACAGAGGGGGAAATGGAAAGGCTTAGTGGCAAAAACAACCTAGCTTACCTAGTAACTAAATGGTTGTATTTACCAATATGTCAATATTCCCTTATACTCTTTCAACTGTCTAAACTTATTGCTGGCCAAGGGCTAGGATGGCATCTTTATTTCCCATGACTTCTTACTCCAAAATGTCTGTTTTGGCCCACCCCACTCAACTGTTTGGGTAGCAAAAAAAGCAAGAACAGAATAAGGAAGAAACAACAAACTCCAGAATCTGCCCACTTTCAGTGCAGATGGAGAGCAGTCTGTACACATTCTCTGTCAGCATGCTCTGCACTAGCCCCCTTTCTTTGGTAAAATAGTTTTTCTTCATCCAACAGTTGTTCAGTGGACATTCACATAGTTCAAGTCTTACCAATTACAGTTTCTTAATCTCCCACCCTATAGGGAAAATGGCTAACCATAGCAGGAAACTGCCTGAGAAGAAAACCAACATTCCTACAGAGCCAGAGATGGACAGAGAGGCTCAGACGACTGAGCACTCGATCCAGCACAACCAAAACCCACAAGCTACCCTTGTGCCTCACAATTAATGTGAGTTAACCAATGTTTTTTTGTCCTTTTAAGTTAAATTAAAATGGACTTAACACATGTAGCCCAAAGAATCCCAGAGAATACTCCAAGATAAAACTATAAATATATTACTAAAATCCATAAGAAGAATGATGAATACCTTTTCTATAGAAACATAGTAACACTGAAACTTTCAGACTGAGTATTAGAGATTAAATAGGTTTGGTGGGACTAGTATAGAAAGCCTCTAAAGAGCAAAAAGTTGCTTATATAGAAAAATAAGTTCTGGGTACAAAAGAAACAAGTTTTTCACAGTAGGCTGGTTATTAAAGGTCTCTATTGTACCATACACTTAGGACTGTCAATATCACCTTTTATATCCCATGTTTTCATATTATAGCAGTATTATTTAAAGAACCAAGCATTCTTACACCCTCACACATACATAACATGTACTATTTTCTTCACTTGCCCTCTCTATGAGCTCAGGGAACAAACATGGTAGAGCCCTTTACAAACATACAGTTGTTGTAAAGGATAAAGACAATATTGTCTCCTAATCTGTTAACAAAAGCAGAAATATGATCATTGCTCCAGTGCTTCCAAATTTTTAACTGCTGAGACACCACAGTTCACTTATTATCATTATTCTACAAAAGACAATGCCCACCATTGCCAGCTCCGTACACCTATGCAACAGCAGCTGGTTCTCACACCACTTTGAGGGACTGGTGTTAACTTCAACTTACAAATGAAAACAACCATTTCCAAGACCTATTTTATAGTGAAATAATCCAAGTAATCAATTCTGAAAATGTTACCAATTAACATGCAGGAGAAGGAACCAATGAGGACACAGGAGAAAGGAACCCATGTTAGAAGGCAATAGGCTAAGTCACTAACCAGACCCATTTCATAGAAAATGACCACTTTACAGTTTACTTAAAACTTACTCTTTTCTCTCTTTTTTAATTGAGGTATCTAAGGGAGTCCTTATTATCCAAGTAATCATTATGAGAACTGCTGAAGTTGCATGTATAAATAGGTCATAATAATATAAGTACCCTCTATCCAAGCACTTTCAGAATTAACTCCAATAGTCTTCCTGGAGTAACTCAAGCAATGGACTGATATATGTCCATTAATTTACCATCTCTTCCTCACAGGCAGACATAAAGAGGATCATCTATATACAATATAAACCATCCATGAAGGAACACTGAAAACCTTCTGAAAAAAATGTATTGAAAACTCGATTAGAAATGATATTTTTAGAAATTAAGCAAATTCACACACAAAGCTACTAACAAATGAGACACGAGTCAGATATCCTAACAAAGAAGAAAAGATTCAGTAATGACATAAGTTCTTCAAAAGAATTTGAATAATAAGTTTTTAAAAAATTCTTGAACAAATTGATAAGCTCTCAAATATTTTTGTAAAGCTGTCTTTAGAATGACTACATTACTAAAATGTGATCTACTATAACAAAATTCAAATGAAGTTCTGCCAATAATGTCATTTAAATTTCTAAGTATCATCTTGTAAGAGAACTTAAATCAAAATATTATTAGGGAAAGGACAAAAATCTTAGTTTTTAGCTTTCATTTTCAGGTGTTCCCCAAGCTTTCTGTGATTCCCGTCTACACAGAATTATAGCTTATTTTCAGTTGACTTAAAAGGTCCTTCTGGCTTGAATTATCCTTAGGCAACAATATGAAGGCATAGAAAAGTATCTTCCTAATAAATAAAAGAATGACTGAAACTGAAAATGCACCAACGTTCCACTTATCTCAGCAGTATAATTTAGTATCAGGATTTTGAAAATCTTGCAACTTTTACATGTGGTGGGTATTTGTTTTGCTTCTGTCCAGTTCTCAAATACACCCTCTTCTTGTCCCAGAGGCCCCCTTCCTGTGGGAAACATTTCAAACAGCTTGGGTGGGGCCCGTGCAACCCCCACCCCAAGACTTTGAGCAAGCATGGGAGGAGTAACTACAAAAAACATTCCCATGTACACCAGACCATACCAAGCAAGCTGAAATTCTCCCAGGGACTTCCTGCACAGACCCATCCCAGAAACTACAAAGATGTGTCTGCAGTTTGCTGAGGAACTTTCATCATGCAGATGAAATAATGCTGAAAGAAACCACTAGAGCTAATATATGGGGAAAGAGGCCCACTGCAATAGCTCACACCTGTAATCCCAACTATTTTGGAGGCAGAGGCTGGGAGGATAGAGGTTTGAGGCCAGCCCAAGCAAAAAGATAGAAAAATTCCCCATCTCAAAAAATAAGCTGAGTGGTGCCACATAAATATAATCCCAGCTACGTAGTAGACATAGGTAAGAGAACAGCAGTCTGAGGCTGGTGGTAAAATTAAGGGACCCTATCTGAAAAAATAACTAAGAGCAAAACAGGCTGGGAGTATGGCTTAAGTGGCAGAGTACCTGCCTACCAAGCCCAAGGCAATGAGTTCAAGCCATAGTACTTCTGGGGGTGAGTGGGGCAGGGTGGGGGGAGATAATTTGGGAAAAGAACAAGCCACAGTCCTTCAAATTGCTAACCAAAGGAAACTCCCTTTGGTTTACTGTGTTCTGATCATCTATGAAAACAACAGCAAAATCCAGGGTAATCAAAATATGATACTTTAAATTATTCTATGGTACAATTACTTTGGGCCTTAACCCTCCTCCCCCCAAAATGGTAGGATTGGCTCAGACAGAGAAATTGGATTGTCTTCTAGGATTCTTCCTTTGCTGCAGAATTCTATTATGTAAGCTAGAATTTTTGACAACTACATGAGTAAGAATTAAACTTTAAGTGGTAAAGGTTGTTGGCTTATAAGAAAAAAGGTACACAATACTTTTAGAAATACTTACACTTAACAGTACTCAATTCTGGTCTGAAATATCTTTAGGCCAAAAACCTCTATTGCTAAGCTCTTCACAGAAAAGGTAAAGAATTATTTTTTTAAAAAGATCTTCTTGATACTATTTTTGATTCTGTTATCAGGTTACAAAATTAGTAATCAAAAATAGAGATTTAAAGATTAAAAACTTTTTGCACAGAATGGTACACATCATTTGTAGAAATGTATTTCTTATTAAAATTTCATTTTATTCAGTATCTTCTGATGGGCAAAGTTCTGGCCTCAAATTTCCAATTCTTTAGAAATGGTAAATAATTATAATCAAATATTAAAAATACATGCCATTCAAACAAAATACCTGAATAAAATAGTCTCCTGTAAAATTCATCTTAAAGTGAAATAATTAAAGTCTTTTTTATAAGCATTCTGAATCTGTAAAGGTATCCTAACATGAAACTAGTTAGGGTGCTGTCCAGAGAAAAGCTGGTGGTAGGGGAAGAGCGAGGAGGGGAAGAGAAAGGAGGGAAATAGAAGGGAAAAATAGGTAAAGAAAGGAGGAAAGTAAAAAAGGGCAAATAGAGAAAGAAGGTAAGTACTTATCAAGTCAGGTACTTAGGGTACTTGAAAGTTGTGTCACTCTGCAAATACAGTATGCAACATCTTAATATTATTACTTAATTCCAACAAAAATATTTAATAGATTAATAAACCCATCAGAATTCATATTATACATATATATTTTCTGAAAAGAATCAATAAATAAAACTAGAAATTATTACATATTTTGTATTTTAAAAACTTCATCTTTTTAAATTTAGAAGCAAAACACAGTATATTTTAATTTCAAAGAACTGACTTATTGAGCACCAATAAGTACATTCAATGGTTAATGTATAAATCTTGCCCAACCAGAGCAATGCTAAGTTGTCTAGGCCTGTCAGCAGAAAATAGTAATCAAGAATGTTACCCCTTCTGGATGATGACACAAGAGCTTCAGATCTTTTTCTTCTGGTTATTTCCCTTGGCCAAGTGTGCATGCCTGGCAAAACTTCTTTCCTTTCTGTCATCTTTGTCTTTGGATGCCACTTTATTACAAACATCCTTCGTATTTGGTGATTTTTTCTTATTTTCCTTGGATTTAGCACATTTATCTGGGTCTAATTTCTCCTTTTCTTTGTCCTTTTTACCTCTAGGAGACTGTTTTCTGGATGTACCTGAATCAGCAATTTTCTTATCCTTCCACTCATCCTCCTTCTCCTTCTTCCCTCTTTTTCTCTCTTCATTCTTGCTCTCCTTCCTTGACACAAGTTTCCCGCTTTCTTTCTTGAGCTCTTCTTTAGTAGGTTCTTTAACTTTCAGGTTTTCCAATCAAAGCAAAAAATATTTACTGATCACCTCTCTTAATTCATAGAACAGCAATTTAGTGAAAAGGTTTTGTCTTTTCACCCATCTCCCCCAACACAAGAACTGCTCATTCAAAAAATCCCATTAATTCATAGCTTTTAAGTTGACTAAAAAGAGATTTAAATTTCCATAAAATATCAGCTATAAAATAAATGCTGGCACCTTGCCATCTGTTCTTCCAGTTTAAAATATGATTTGTCTTGTATTAACACAAGTTTAACATGCAACATTATTTAAGTGAGTCCACCCACAAGGGCAGTAATTTTCACAAAGTTTTAACTCACATTTCATAACTATAATGACATAAGTAAAGGAACACTGGCAATATAGAAACAAACTCTCCATGACTTATTTTAATACAAAGATAATTAAAATTTCTTAGTTTGAACGAAACATAATGTCCTTAAGAAAGTCCATGAGAAAAATTATGCACAAAAAAAGTTAAATATCATTCAACTGTCTTAGCTAAGTAAGCAAAAAATAATCTCCACGCATAGGAAGTTTTAAAATCACTATCTGTAGCATTTACAACAACAAATATAATTTTTTTGATAGTCAACATTACAAAATCAGTATTCCTTTAGGTATGTTTCCTTATTAACTTATGAAGAACCACTCACACCAATATAATGCATCTTCCATGTTCATAGAGAAGGAAATGCAACTGAATGGAATACACAGTTAATTCCAAATCTCATATGAGATAATGCTTTCAACTTGCTTTACATAAAGTAAATGGTAATTAGCAAAAGCATTAAATTTAACCTTCTTGTTCTCTTACCAGGAAATCATAAGAGAAAGTGTTTCTGCATAATGTAGCATTTAAGCAGTGAAAAAGAAAATGACAGATCTTTTTATTATAAAAAAATGTGGAAGATGTTTTTGCCAATCAAACACATTTAAAACTCACACAATGCAAAATGAGCTCTAGATTTGCGGTGCTCAAAAACAAACAAAACCCTTCTGCATTCTATCTTTCTACACAGTGTAATAATGTCTTAATTAACCATTAACAATATCACGTAGTGTTTCTCTATTAATTGAAGAAACAAAGAAATGCTTTGTTTCTTCCTGAAAATCTAATCAAAATCCCTTAAAAATACAAAATTGCATTCATGCAGAATTCATCCTGTTAAGAATTCCTTCTATTTCAATGATATTTGTGGGATAACATAGAAAAGACATTGCAAAAGAGCAAAATGCTTATCAAGTCTTATGTGCAAACTGTTTTAAATAATTAAACTCTTAATATTTAATCTGCCTTTCTAGATCAAGAAGTAAAATTATAGTTTTTTGGCCACTCACTTCATTATCATTTATATAAAAATGAAATTATGAAATTTCCATTTTCTTCCTGGGAATGATTCTGATGGGATGCAAAGTTAAAACATTAAAATTTCCTCATCCTAAAACTAAAATATAAGTAGTAAAACCCTGTACTCACCTAGTGAAAGTCTCACATGTTCATGTTTCACAGAAAGCAAACTACAAACCGTATGCCAAGCACTTGATCACAAAAGACCAACACAAGGTTTTTAAAGAAAATCATGCAGTTCCTCCATGCCCTTCTCCTTCATGTTTACATGGAAATAAGAAAAATGATAGGGACAGAAAGGCTACAATATTTAACTGTTAGCCTACATATAATGACAACACATATAGCAATTTTAATGAATTAAAATATAAAGCATAACAATTTTTATAATGACAGAATGCAGCACTCCAGATTATAAACCTAAACTTGCATTTTATTGGAAAGTATTCATTTGAGCAAACTAGCTTTTATTGTGCTCTTAGACAGTGTTATCAACTTTTAGAGAAATGAATCACTGATGAACTTATTTTTATAGTAATAATTCAAAAATCAAACCAAGAAAAGGCTTTAGGTAGCAAGGTAAGATGTATATATGTATATCTAATATAATCAAATAAATGTAACATGACACTGTTATGTAGTCTTAATATAAAAACAATAGTAAGTTTTGACAACATAGAAAAGGAAATCAGTTAACATTATAGGCTTGTGGAAGAAAATTCTTGAATGAGGTTTTGAAAAAAACCTCATGATATAAGGTGCACTTAAACCAAAAAGCAGTATTATTTAGCATTAGTAGTTGCATTTACATAACATGTCCATAAAATGTCATGCACTTTCAAGCGTGAATGTGATTCATTCAAGGCTAATTTGAAAAATAGAAAATACCTTTAGCCTTAGCTTTTCTCTTGGCTACCCCACCAGGTCCTTCTGTTGGTATTTACAAGACGAAAATAGGTTACACAGACAAAATATTGAGGAAATTAAGAACTATGTCTAAAAAAGCTGAAGATATCAAATTTACCACAAAAAAAGACACTTCAACATACAAGAATCATTTATGTGTCACTTTAAAGTGTTACTTTCATTATCTATTAACAGGTAAATACATTGTAATCAGCGTATGATCTAGTCAACACAATTTACATCGGACCTTTAAGACTCAGTGGCTTTAGAAACACATAATTATTACTGGAAACGGCATTTTGCTGCAGGTGGTAGACTTCTGCTCGACCCACAGATGATCAGCATTCCCTACTCCACCACTGCCATACAAAACAAAACAGGCAGCTGACTTTTAGAGAATTGTAGTCTTTAAACAACCATCACTTTCCCCCCATCATTTGGGCTTCTTTTTAAAAAGTTACGTAAGCACCTTTTTTACTCTAATAACTTTACTACAGCTATCTTCTTCCCCTTTTGGTAAATAAAAGTCCTGACAATGGCTTTCTTTTTGATCCTGTAACAAACATCAATACCATATGCTTGCACTCTTTTCCAATTAGGCTATACTTAGAACCTCACTCAACTGATCTTCCTTTTATACTTCCCAATTACAAAAATGCTATTTTATATTCATAAATGGGCAAACTTTCTAAAGTGGCAGTCCAGTTTTTAGGCTTATCAGGTGGGCGGTACAGTTCTTACTATTTAGGGGACTGGGAGAAGGAGAACACATACAACTGGTCACTCAAGAGCGGAGGTCTAGGGTGGTGTCAAAAGACCCCTCCTCCCCGCGAATCACAGTGCTGCAAACTACAGAACCCATTCTGTATGTTTCTTGAAATCACAATCACATCCACACTTCTCATATTGCTCGTATCTTCTTCCATTCCTAAATTCCCTTCCCTTTACAATGAAAATGGTAATTTCTTACACCTGAAATATCAGCATTCTGAAAAAAAAAAGTATGTTTTACCACTGACTAAATAAAAAAGTAAAAAAGGTACAGCTGTATCTGCCCTCATACTTGATATATGTAGGAGACCTAACCACTGCATTTGTTATGATTATTCTTCATAATTAAAACTTGATTCTTTCCTAAACTCAGTCAAAACAACATACTACTTTGTAAAGCAGAATGCTATCTTGGACCAGTTCCTACTAAACTTTATTTCAGAATAAAACACCAAACCTACTCTTGTAATACTACACTTTAAATACATGACCATTTTTGAATGTGTAAAAGAACTTAGCATAAAGTATCAAAATATACTTATAGTACTGCCAATGTGTCTTTCCTGGCTGCTGCATGTCCTCCCACAGCAGGCCTAGATTTTCCAATTAAAAAAGTAATTTAAAAAATTAGACTATCTACTTCCCATATCTACTCATGATAGTCTCAAAAAGAGTTGCACTGAGGAAAAGGCTAAAGCTAACTTTGATCATGAATAAACCAAAATATTAGATTACCAACAGACTAATCAAACAGTTAAAAATGATTATTGTGGGTGGGTAGCTCACACCAGCTACTCAGGAGGCAGAAATTAGGAGGATCACAGTCTGAGACCAGCCCAGGCAAAAAGTTAGTGAGACCCTATCTCAATCACTAAGCTGGGCATGGTGACATGAGCCTGTGGCTCCAGCTACATGGGAGGCCTTAAATAAGAAGATCATGGTGACCTAAGATTCAGGATGCTAGGCTAGTTGTTGCTTCATACTCAGGCCACTTCACAGTTCCTGGGGAGACCTGGCAGTCATTATGATCCTCAGTTTCTCATCTTCCTCCTTCCTATACTGGAACATCATATCCATTTGAACCCTGACTACACATAACAGAAAGAGGCATCACATGCTTAAGTAAACTTGAATCTGGGAAACTGTGACTCCAGAGTTCATGTCTATTCTTGTTAAATGCAGGTCAAGACAAGATATCGAGTTCCTTTTAAAAAGCTGTAATGACAATGCTATAGACATCTGGAGGAAAAGCAAGCTACAAAGCTACCAACCTCTAAAATGAATGGGAAACCGAGATCAGGAGCGTAAGACAACTGAAAAAGTAAAGGAACAGAACAGAGAGATCTGTCCAAATGAGGTGAGATTGTAGAAAGTCCACCTGACGATGTTTGTTAGCACTGGTCAGTTTGAATGAATTTTAAAATGTCATTTCTCTTGGAAAAAATTCAAAAATTTATTATTATTCAACCTGGTTTTAAAAAAGAAAATAATAAACTTCAGTATTTTAGTATGCAAGGAAACTGAGGCTTGCATTCATGGGGACTAATACCAGCATATGATAATATTCAAATATTAAGTAATATCATGCACTGGGCTCAACTTTGAAGAATCAAAGAACTAGTTCCTAGCTTGAAGGAGTTCATGGTCTAGTTGATATCTGCTCCTAACCATTACATGGTTATCTCAACAAATACAGACAGAGAATTGGCATACTTGCTCATTAATAAACTTACAAAAATAAATTCTGAGTCACTGAATTTCTTATAAGTGTTCCAAACACATTATGATCAATGAAGATTCCACAGCCCAAATCACAGAAAGCTTTTTATATGTTTTATAAACTGAAGTAGTTAACCAAGAATCTTAAGTAGGAAGGTCACTAAGTACCAGTCTACATAAGGATATGGACTGACAAGTGATCAAATTAAGAATCACTGCCTGTACCTACATCTACTTTTGATAATTCTCTTTTTAAAAGTTGAAAGTATTGGGACAAGAAAACATTACATTCTGCATAACTAAGGGAAAATAAAAACAAACCAGAACTCAAGCAGAAAAAAATATTTTTTCTTACACGTCTGGAAACTGCTCTATAAGACAGGAAGATAATTTGTAGAGTGAACAATTAAATGCATGATGAATAAGCAGGGCCACACTATGTCCTCCATACATGCATTTACAGGACTCCACCGGCACAAGCTGACAGCCAGGCCTCAGGAATTAGTAGGATCAGCACCCAGAACACTCCTGCAGCTGGCTCGCACCCCCACTCATGTTCCAAGGGAAATCAGTGCTGAAAGAATCCCCAATGTTCCTGCTCTGTTTCTGCATCAAACTCCAAAGATCCCAATGCCTCTTCAGTTGGACAAATGGCAGAGCACCAAAAGAAGTTAAGAATTGCCACTCTGAGAGACCAACACTACATCTAACATGCAGCACAATCCAGAGATTCTTAGGTTGTTCAAAACTGAAAAAGCACAGAGTAAATATAGAATGACTTAAAATTCCAGAACTATAAATAAACTCTCAAATGTACAGAATACACTGTTGCCTTTTTAAGTAAGCTACTAAGTTTAAAAGACATGAGCTAGGAAAACTTGTATTATGAAACAAAAGTACAAAAAAATCCTTACAAAATTAAGAAATATACATATATAATAAACAAGACTTAAGCAAAGTCAGGTTGATCAGCATCAAGATATTTTATACCACAGACTTGCCAAAACCTTTATTCACTCTTACACACAAAAAAAATTCCTTAGGCACAGGTGGAAGGAGGTCACAGAAGTCAGGGGTTCATAGCTACCTGTGTGTTACTTTCATCAGAGATTTTTCAAATAGGACCATTAGAGGTGGTACAAAATAAATGACCAATTATCATCTCACGTCCTTGTCTTTCACTTAATATAATAAAGCATAATTAATTTCTGTACATAAAATGTGCGTTAGTATCATGACATAAAACCAAGCCTGATGAGAAATTAATTATAAACAATTTTAACACAAAAATTTAATTATTTACTTCTCATTATCTAAAACATCTAGAGTTAGTATGCATGACACATTAACAAATAAGACTTTTTTAAAACTATTTTTCAGACAATCACATAAGTGAATTTCATTAATAATAAAACCTACAATTCTTGTGAATTTAAATCTAATGAGCTTTGATACTTCACAGTATTTACGTTCAAAGTGAAAGACATGATAAAGGCAGACAAAGGCTGAATAAACTTTCCAAAAGAACATTACTAAATAATACCCATTCTATTTAGCTTATGGCTTAGCTGAAGTGCTTGTATATTTGAAAGTCAAATGCTTCCTTCAGAAACAGAATGATACCTACTTCCAGAATAACGGGACAAGAGCAACAATAGTTTAAATATTCATTTAAGCTTCAGGAAATCACTATCTAATGACAATATTTACATCCATATCTAAAAGAAGCTACAGAAGAATGTCATATTTTGGTAAAATTAGCAAATTGGGCAATCTTCCCTGGACATGGACACAATGGACAGAGAGGATAGGTCCTGGTGTTCTGATTTCAGACATCTACTTTTAGGCTGTCATTTTATAATCAAGAAACAAAGTGTGTCATATTTCACTCAGAACAAATGGATGAACAATCTCTTTACTTGAAAGTAATTTGATTAAATATGAAAAGTAGAAATAGTCAAAAACAACTATCTAAAATGCAAATTTTTTTAATTAAGCTCTGTGAAGAACCAAAGCTAAGCAAAATTTTATAGATGCTTAAAGATATTTAAAAATTTGACTCTTTCAAAGAGTAACAGAAGTCAAAGCTCTTAACTCTTACCCCTTTCATGTTGTAAGAGCTTCGCTTGGGGAGAAATAGATGAAATCTTTCTTTCAGAAATGTATTTTATGTATAGCTAACATAATTTGCTTTTGCTATCACTAAAGCAAACTCATTTTAAAGAAGTTGATAGGGAAGTTTTTATTCTCTAGAAATTAATGACCACTTTAATAAATTTAATTTATAAATTTAAATATATTATACCTAAACCAAAACTGTATATAGCTAGTTAATAACAGAGGAAAAAAATGGAAAAAGACTGTTACTTAGGATGAATAATTTTAATATATACAACATTATTTAAGATACATACTCACATTTTCCCTCCAGTATATTATGTTTACTTTAAAAAAAATACAAATCACCTTCTCTGGATGTATATTTGGAAATGAAATTAAAAATAAATTTTGCTTTCAGAAACAGAAATATTCAG